CGACCACTTTGCCGAGAAAACCAGGGAAAATTTGCCCGCAACCTAGATTTTCGAACTCGTTATCATCATCGTCGCGTCCGCTCAAATTAGTCGCCATCGACAATTCTGTCATGCCATAGCCATTGCGAACGCATTTTATGCCGATGCGAGCCTTCACCGCAGTTACGACCTGTGAATAAAAGAGGAAATAATTAGTTACTTTAAATTTCTTCCATTGTTTTTAAATTGGTTGCGCCAACATGTGGATTAACTTTTTTAAATTAGTTCATTAAATTAACCAATGCAAAGCAATTAACATTAACGACTTGCAAAGTAATGCTTTAAGAATGTCATACATTAATATTTTGTAGTATTGTCGTATCTTTCGAAATCCGTCGCAGGATATCATAAATTTTTTAATCTTATAAGATAAATGATTTTTAATTGTTACAACCATAGAATTTAGCAGTATGAATTTCATTCAATATAAAAATTAACATATATACATTTTATAACGTCTTTTCGTTTTCAATGTCTGTTTTGCTCTGGAACTATCCAGCGATAAGAGATATCAATTTTCCGAAAGATGCGATTGCGAAACTCGCGAGAATGCAACTTTCTATTTTCTTTTCCTTCTACTTTTCCTTAGCAACTTCGTGACCAGTTAAAAAAAAAAAACGCGATAAAGTTACTCCCCGGCCGTATCTAGTAAAAATACGACGACTTCCTCTCGCAGTCCTTCGTTCTCACAGCTGCGGCATCGAGGCCTCCCTTCCGGCACTTATTGTTAATCCCGCCGGGCTGCTTTTCTTGTTGTGATAACTTAACCGAGGGGCAGGAAAGGAGGATTGGTAGGTAAAGGAGACAAAACGACAAATTTCATATTGACAAAAGAAAACTTACGTCCTTCGCAAGCGGCGCCGCTCCGCAGAGGAGTTCTCTCACGCTGCGAAAGTCGTACGTATCTACCAGCGGATGTTTCGCCAAGAACGTCAGAATTGGCGGCACCACCGGCAGATGGGTGATCTTATATTCCTGCACCAGGGTTAGGAAGAGTCGCGGCTCGAAGGCGGGCATTATGATCAAGGTGCAATTCGCGAAAAGACCGAGTAACAGCATGCCCACCCCGTAGCCATGATAAAACGGTACCAGTACCAATATTCTGTCATTGCTTCTTGTGTCCAGGTTCTCGGGCATGCTGCGTTTTAAAATCTTATTTAAATTATAGTATGGTATTATATTTTGTGTTAAATTAAATCCCATACATTAAACATTTAACCGCCGCGTTTTTAATCAAATGCATATTAATTTCATTACCACTTAAAAGTGTATTAACAAATAGTTTAAAAAAATGATATATAAGTAAGACTTGCCTAAATTTTGTTAAAAACGCCATTAGATTTTTATGAGACAGCGTCACTCCTTTCGGCAAGCCCGTGGTGCCACTCGAACAGAGAATAACCGACGGGTGCCGACTGGGATCATCGATTTCTACAGGTTTATATCTCATATAGTCTACATCCGATTCGTTATTTAAAATATTTGTCAAAGTACGGACATTTGGTGTGAGCGGTTGATTATCCAGCTGTATTAA